TGAATGGTATCTTTAAAACTGAGCTAAACACTGATTTAAGAAAAGTGAGGTCAAGGTCAAATGAAAGGTCAAGAAATGTTGATGCAGTTGAATAGCTTACATTAGTACGTATCAACATATGAAGTTTGATTACACTACCTTGAATGGTTTCTTTAAAACTGAGCTAAACACTAATTTAAGAAAAGTGAGGTCAGGTCAAATGAAAGGTCAAGGTAAAAAAATGTTGATGCAGTTGCATAGCTCTCATCAATATCTATCAGCATATGAAGTTTGATAAAAATATCTTGGATAGTTTCTTTGAAACTGAGCTTTGAACAGAGCTAAATGCAAAGTGTGACAGAAAGACGGACGGAAGGACGGAAGACGGACATGACAAACACTATATGCCCCGGCCATATTCATGGTGGGGCATAAAAATAAAACAATGTTTGTTTTATCTCCACAGATCCCTAATGGCATTGTAGTTATGACCTTTTCCTTGATTTTTTTCAAACCCCTTAGTTTTAAAGGATATGGAAGCAAATAATTTTCATACATACAACACAAATTTTCAGAAAAGTAAACCTGGGTCTAGCCTGACAATCAAATTGGTATACACATGTATTAATATTTTACCTAATTGTAAAATGACAAAGGATGGTGGTCTAGTAACATGCAATTGTATACAAAAATGTAAAAGGCTTTCAACAAACATTTTCAATGAAAAATGGAGTCTATCACAGGCTTCACATATTTTGTACATTAAATGTCATTTTAAGAAAAAAAAATCTTAAGAGAGAGAAAAAAAATCATTAAAAAATCTTCTAGCGAAAAAAGGCAAAGTATCAAAAGTCCTTATTAGGTTGGAATAAGAGGTTCTAAGTTTAATGAGAGAATATTTAGAAAATACTAGGTATATCTGAACTATATGAACTGTTAATGTTCTCATAATGATACAGCATCCTCAGGTATCATTCATTTTAAAGACAGACAAGATCAACAGACTTGAGCACATTTTATTGGTCAACCAACATTTATTTTCTAAGCCTGAGAATTAAATTGGGACATCCTTTATATAAAACTGTACACACTCCTATTATAAAAAAGTTATTTACAATCATTGTCTGTAACAACATCATATATATATTATGCCTGCTTATTCACATTAATATTTACCTCATTGTACTGTATCAGGAGCATAGCCAGGTATACACTTGTGTACGTCCCAAGCTTCCGATTCATTCTAATAAAGTTCAAATTTAAAGAAAAAAAATCTGTACACTGGTCAGTGAATTTGTAACATTATTTTAAGAAACTTAAATCTGTCACTTTTTTCTGATACATTATTCATGTAGTATCTAGATATTTAATTTAAATAACTTAAAATTTCATGGAACCCCCCCCCCCAAATACTGGTAGTCCCAATGAAAAAACAAGAGGCCCAGGGGCCACATCGCTCACCTGAGCACTGTGGCTAGGAAAAGAGGAAAAATCAGTTTAGTATTGAAAAGCTTAAATGCATAAGTGGTCCCAACCTACCCCTACAAGGGAGTGGGGGGTATGATTTGAACAAAATTAAATCTACACTAACTAAGGATGCTTACGTGATTTTTTGACTGTGACTTTTTTCTCTACAAGTTTGAACTTTCATTGTGGCCCCACCCTACCCCTGGAGGTCATGATTTGAACAAACTTGAATCTACACCACCTGAGGATGCTTCCATATAAATATTACCAATCATAGCTTTGCTGTTCTTGAGAAGAAGATTTTTCCTATATATTCCTATGTCAAACTTTGATCGTCCATTGTGGCCCCACCCTACCCCCGGGGGTCATGATTTGAACAAACTTGAATCTACACCACCTGAGGGTGCTTCCAAATAAATATGACCAATCATAAGTTTGCTGTTCTTGAGAAGAAGATTTTTCCTATATACTCCTATGTTAAAGTTTAATCTTCTATTGTGGCCCCACCCTACCCCTGGAGGTCATGATTTGAACAAACTTGAATCTACACCACCTGAGGATGCTTCCATATAAATATTACCAATCATAGCTTTGCTGTTCTTGAGAAGAAGATTTTTGAAGATTTTTCCTATATATTCCTATGTCAAACTTTAATCTTCCATTGTGGCCCCACCCTACCCCCAGGGGTCATGATTTGAACAAACTTGAACCCATATCACCTGAGGATACTTCCATATAAATATTACCAATCATAGCTTTGCTGTTTTTGAGAAGAAGATTTTTGAAGATTTTTCCTATATACTCCTATGTTAAACTTTAATCTTCCATTGTGGCCCCACCCTACCCCCAGGGGTCATGATTTGAACAAACTTGAACCCACATCACCTGAGGATGCTTCCATATAAATATGACCAATCATAGCTTTGCTGTTCTTGAGAAGAAGATTTTTGAAGATTTTTCCTATATACTCCTATGTTAAACTTTAATCTTCCATTGTGGCCCCACCCTACCCCTGGGGGTCATGATTTGAACAAACTTGAACCCACATCACCTGAGGATGCTTCCATATAAATATGACCAATCATAGCTTTGCTGTTCTTGAGAAGAAGATTTTTAAAGATTTTTCCTATATACTCCTATGTTAAACTTTAATCTTCTATTGTGGCCCCACCCTACCCACGGAGGTCATGATTTGAACAAACTTGAATCTTCACCACCTGAGGATGCTTCCATATAAATATGACCAATCATAGCTTTGCTGTTCTTGAGAAGAAGATTTTTGAAGATTTTTCCTATATATCCCTATGTAAAACTTTGATCGTCCATTGTGGCCCCACCCTACTCCCCCTGGGTCATCATTTGAACAAACTTGAATCTACACTACCTGACAATAATTCCACATGAGTTTCATCTTTCCTGGCCCATTGGTTCTTGAGAAGAAGATTTTTCAATAATGCCATTAATTTTTTGCCATTTCGTAATTATCTCCCCTTAGAGGAGGGCGTGGCCCTTCATTTGAACAAACTTGAATCCCCTTCACCCAAGGATACTTTGTGCCAAGTTTGATTGAAATTGGCCCAGTAGTTCTGGAGAAGAAGATGAAAAGGTGAAAAGTTTATGACAACAACAACGACGACGCCAACGACGCCGACAGACAACGGACAAATTTCAATCAGAAAAGCTCACTTGAGCCTTCGGCTCAGGTGAGCTAAAAAGCAATAATATTGAATCTACATAATGCATTTAAAGATTTCAGTGTAGCTTCTACAGCTTCATCACTAGGAGGTGCCAAAACAAATGAACCCGGGAAATGCCCTTCATAAAATAGATGATGTATGTAGTTTAAATTTTCATACAAGCAAATAATCTTATGAAACACAGAAAAAAAAGCCAGTGCTCATTAGTAACCAGTTTTCTCAAACTCTTGTTCCCAACTTTTGTGATTTTCAATATTAAGCCTTGTGTCTTGTGAAAATTAAAAAAAAAATTAAGGAACATGAGGTTGTGAAAAACCGGTTATTAACTTGCATTTATGGACCTTTATTTCCAAAGAAGTTCCCAAATTTAAAGGAAAACTTTTTTTTTTTTTTTTTTACATCTGTTAGGAACGTATTTTCAGAAGTTAGCCCTCTTTTTCTCTCTTTTCTTGCAAGCCACCTCCCAAATCATCTATTCCTCTGAATGATTTATGGAATCAAATTTAGCTGCAGAAACAACATCTGAATTCATATCATAGCTAAAGGAAAAGTTCTTTAGAAAAATGAATAGAATTTTGGAATTAACTCATGAACAAATAGATAACTTCTATAGAGAAATTGTAAATTACTGTAAAGCTTTCATGATATTTTTGAGGTTTACATTTGATAATTAATCAAATATACAAAAAAACTATACAACTGCCACTCAATCATGATATTGCATAAAGGATTTAAAGAAAAAACAATGAGAAAAAATAATATGCATTATAAATGGATATGTTTACACAAGCTTCATTTAAAATAAAGAGGAGATACACAATGTACATATTTATGGCTTGAAAAATCTCCAATAAACAAAAATTTCTATCACAGATCTTATGCTATATAATCATATCAAAATAAGTAAGGAAAAAAATATCAAACCTCTGCCTTTTCCAATTTCTTATGCTACAGTATTCTGTATACATGTAACAGAGTTGTTAGATGACTGATAAACTCAGATTACTGTGTATATATACTTATCTACGCATTTTAAACTGCACTTGAATGAAAGTCATGGACTGTTTAATAAACAGTCACAATCAAGAATTAAGGATGTCAAAATCTTTATAAAGAATACTAATAAGGACTGTAAACCAACTATTATTCACGGCAACTTTTATTTGTGATTCACCAGATTAAACCCCATCTGCAATGATCAATGTTTTTGCAACTAAGTATATATTCTACACAAATACACAATAGATAGTTTTCATATGACGTATTTTCTCTCCGAGTTATTTCCCTTGGCCGCCATCTTGGTGGTCAACCTAGTATTTTTTCCTCTTTGTCTTTACAATTTTAAGAGGGTGTAGCAGAAATATTTATAGAATAAAAAAGTATGACATAAAGGAGGCTTTAACAAATGTATATTTTTCAGAAAAACAATGCTTCCTACCCCACAATGGCCAGTATAAAAAGTTAAAGTTGGTTGTATAATGAAGGGAATATGGGCATGTTGACCTCCAATATGGCGGCCAACGGGAAATAACTCTTGCTAATTTAGGCCTACTGAAAACTATCTATTGAATTAATAGTTTGCCAGAAAAAAAAGGTTGTGAAACTAATGGATATAACTTGCACACAAATAAAAGTTGGTTTATAGTACAAATTCTTATTTTGGCATTGATTATGAAATAGTGTTGAAATGACCACACCAAAATGAATCCTAGCTGTTAAACTAAGTACACATGCAGTATAGCAGCCTGGTCAAAATTGCCAAAAAAAAAAAAAAAAAAAAGGGAAAAAAAAAAGAAAAAGAAAAAAAAACCTCCAAAAAGCTAAAAGTATATGGCTGATTAGTTTAATTTTTAACTAATTCAGAAAGAAAAAATGAATTAGAAGTCAAAATATTTTGAAAATAAGATAAAACACAAAAAAAAACCCCAAACACTGGTGTTTAAATTTGATTACATTAAATAAAACTCTTGATTAATCAATCAAAAATTTGTAGCAAAACAAGGACACAAAAATGAATAGGATCCCTGCTATGTTAAGTGTAAATAATGCTCCCAGTCCCAAGTGTGTCTATACCCACCTCCAATCACTACTGTCCACCAAATAAAATTTCCACATAAATTTTAAATGTATTTTAACAATTTTAACAATTGTATAAGACTAACCCAGTAAATAAAACAAAATGTACACACCTAACAACTTCAAATAAATAAATAAATGTATGTGCATATCACACTGATATCATCATAGCATGTGGAATGGTAACTTTAATCAACACTGAGTTTTCTATAACTTCCCATTACACACTCCATGGCATCTTGGCCGAGTTTCTGATCTATTGTAGAGCCAGAAACAAACCCATATTTTGCCTCTTCATCAAATTCTGCATCACATTTTAAGAGCTCTTCCATCCATTCCTACAACATTGTCACAAAGTTTGGCATCATTTCCTTTCATGCAAGTGATTCCAAGGTTACAAAATTCTGTTTTAAGGAGTTTATGAGTTGATAACCTATCTGGGAGCATGTGATAATTTGCATAGGAGGCATACAGACACAGATCAAGCAAACTTTGACCAGAAAGGCATTTGAGCTTTTGGTTTATAGTACAATTTCTAAATGAGCTAAAAGTCCTGTAGACTTTTGAGGATTTTGGATCAGGTGAGCTTAAAGTCCTGTAGAACTTTTATTTGAAGGTTTCAGTTTAATTTAGAATAAGAATATTTTTGTCAAAAAAAACAAAAACTGTGCATCTTATTTTAAACAAGCTGTTGTTAGCTTCAAGTCAGGAATATTGCATACTTTAATGTTAATCATAAAATGTGGACTGTAATCTGGAAAATTGAAATTAGATTTTTTAAAATCTAATTCTCATTCTGACAATCAAGTGAAATATGCCTGTGTAAAAAGTCTCTGACAGGTCATACCCTCATTACATTCTTCATAATATATGGATTAGTGTTCACTGTAATAGGAAATATCGTAACAAGTACTTTATATTACAAAATTATAAATTGTCTAACTTTTTCCATTACTGAAATCTGCTAGTTTTGTTTCAAGCATATTTAAATTTTGAGTTTTGTTAATTATTTTTCCTTTAAGATAAATAACTCACCTTATTTGAGTATGGAGGTGCTTTTCCACCATACTCCTCCGGTAAATATTCAGGATCAATATAATCTGTCAATTCCTGTACATTTTTCCCATGGAAATGAAGCTATAGAAAACAATACAAATGAAAGAATAAAAAGTAGGAAGGTTAAAAGAAAAGAGAAGCTAATTAACAGACTCATCCTAAATCACAAATTTTCCTTTCTGACAATGAAATCTGAGGAAATATGAAAAACATTACTGATGTCACAAACTTAATGTCCTATTTTTAACAATTTTTTGAGCATTCTATTTTTTTTTTTTTTTTTTTTTTTTTGTTGCAATTTATGGATAATTGTGTACCCATGCAGTACCCAAGAATTCAAAATATCAATGTATATTGAAATGAAGATGAATACTATAAAACAGGCTTATAGCATACATGGCTATAATGAATTGATGCTTACAGCAAGTGATTTTTATTCCTCTTGGCTTCAAAATATATCATGAACTTAATGGATATAGAGAATTATGTTTATAACAAAGCAAAATTGTCCATTCCTGGCACTTCATTATAAGCATATTTTACTGTATCTTATTCATAAAATGTTTGCCAATGAAATTTTACGAATCAATACACCATAAACAATCAACAAAAATTGGCTCCCACAAATTAACATGATCAAATTAAAATGATTTCACAGTTTATATTTATTGATCGCTGCATATCAATTTTGCAGAAGTATGCATGTGCTGTTCTTGAATAAATCAAACAATTATTAAACAAAACTTTGCACCCCCTATTGAAGTTCCATCCTATATATTGAGGCTTTATGAAAGCTTATACAAACTGTAGCCTTGTTATTCTTGCAGATTATACTTCTGTGTGAAACTCTGATCCAATGTTTTGACTGCACCCTACAGCCACAGGGACTACGCTTTGAGCAATTCCACTACAGAGAAATTGGCGGCTGATATAAATGGGGAAAAAAAACCACCAATTTCTCTGTAAAACTCAGATCGCTTATTATGGCTCCACCCTATCCTGGGGGGTTATGATTTGAACGAACTCGAATCTACTGTACCTGAGGATGCTTCAATATACAGGTAAATTGACTAATCAGGACATTACTATTCTTGAGAAAAAGATTTTTGACCACAATGTGGATCAAAGTTTTACATAGGAATATATAAGAATTAATGTTCAAAAATCTTTTTCTCAAGAATAGTAATGTCCTCATTAGTCATATTTACCACAGATTGCAACTTTCAATGGACAATGAAAATAAAAGCAAGTGGTGTAAGGATTATGGCTTATTTCAATGGTAAAAAACTGAAGAAGAGCTGCTATGAAAATTCTGGTATTTCAAACTTTTGACAGAAAATACAGAGATTGGAAGAATAAATAGAGAAATCATAAGGCATGTTTTAGATGCTCAATTGTAAGCCTTATGCCAAAATTGTAAGGGTTAACATCTCTTGGAATGTATGCAAAGTTTTTGAATTTCTCATGTAGCTTTTTCTTACTCGATTAACTGTCTTTTCTTTCATGAACTGCTTAACTATTGCAAATATATAATCAAATACTGCTGGTTCATTTAAGTAATGAATTCCTTTGAATCTTGCAGGAAAGGCATCCTGAAAATAAAAACACAACTGAAATTTAGCAAGTAATACTGACTATCATGAAAATATATACAAATATGGGTAGAGCATTTTATTTTCCAAAAGCACCAATATTCCTGCCAAATAACTTGGTACCCTCAGCACTCAGATTCTTTAAAAACTACAGAAATTACCTATTGTACATTATTATGATATAGGACTGTTCCAGTGCCATCTACAGAATGTTCAAAACTAGCAAAACAAGAAACAGCAAGGAATATACATAATTCATACCTGCAGCAAAGACATGATACGTTTTGCATAAAATGGAGAAATATTTCTAGCATGAGCCCATCCAACACCATCCAAATCCATAACCATGATTATTCCATTGACTTGGGTTGCTTCATCCTGTGATAAAATACAACAAAATGTGACCAAACTCTGTAGTAATACAGCGAAAAATTCTGGACAGATTCCTCTTCTCTGTGTATAAAGTATGATTTTTTAAATAGAAATATTTCCTATACTATATCAAAGTTTGAATAGTTTCAACTTATATGCTGTCATAAGATGAAAGTGACTTGTCATATACACATCCGCAGATGCAACATACGTGAAAGTTTGGATTAGACATCACTTGCAATTGGCATGAGTGGGATCTATTAAAATGCTAAATTAATCAGTCAACAGAGAAAGATGCAGTACACATAGCATTCATCAACCTACTATCCACCACATCTGTAAGTTTGGTTTGGACATCCCTCAAAATAAGCCAGAAGTGATATAATGCTGGATTTAACCTTGGATTTAAAAAAAAACAGGTTTACCAATACTTCAAATGTAGGTCAAATGCAGCATTTGGAATATGAATCCCTGTAGGAATCACAAAAGTGTCCACAGGTTTGAATGCCCTTTGTGATTGTACTTAAGGACTTTTAAGCTGAATTAAATCTGCAGTTGAACAGACAAATAGATGGATATTAAGCAAATCAGTTTTGAGAGTTGTTGAAATTTCAGTGAATGTCAGAGAAGACAGTTTTGACTAATGGGGTTTATGGTTACCTGTATAATCTTTGATATTGTCATAAAGTTTGTCCGAAATACATCATCCACAGGAAACCGACTTGGATCCCATCTACCTGGAAAACAGTTTGTCATGTAGCTTGAAGTTAGCAAAAAAAAAATATATATATATATATATAGGTAAATGTATTATAAAACAGAGATTATGAAGGTCACCTTAACAAATGTTATCTATAAGTAAGGCAAACATTGCACCAATTTTTTTTTCTAGTTATTTCCCAAGATCCATGCAAGTTTGGTTTTAATAGGACTTGAAATTACCTGGTACTTAGAAATGAACATACTCCAAAAACTTTCACCTGTTCACTCATCCAGAAGATGTAGGTCAGATCCAGCATCCAAAGCAAGTCTGGTAGTGTCCATCTCTAGATGCATCATCCATGCAAGTTAAGTCATAAGAGGCCTTATAGTTATTGGTGACAGAGCTACTCCAAAAACTTAAACTGAAAATGTAGGTCAGATCCAGCAACCAAAACAAGTCTGATAGTGTGCATTCTTAGATGCATCACCTATAAAAGTTTGGTCCATGTAGGGCATATAGTTACTTGGGAATGGACCTACTTCAAAAACTTAAACCTGTTCTTTCATCCAGAAAAGGTAGGTCAGATCCAGCAGATGAAGCAAGTCTCCAACTGTCCTTCCCTACATGCAAGATTTGTGCAAGTGTGGACCAGATATGGCTAATAGTCACTCATCTGGAAAATATGGGTCAGATCCAGCATCCAAAGCAAGTCTGGTAGTGTACATTCCTAGATACATCATCCTTGCAAGTTTGGTATAGGTAAGGCTTATAGTTACTTGAGAATGGTATTGCTCCAAAAACTTAGACCTATTCACTCATTGGAATAAGTAGGTCAGATCTAGAGCAAATCTGGTTGTGTCAATCCCTAGATGCATCATATATGCATGTTAAGGTACAGGAAGGGCTAATAATTACTTGCAAATGGACCTGCTCCAAAAACTTAAACTTGTGCACTCATTCCAAAAATGTAGGTCAGATCCAGCATATGAAGGCATTTTTGGTACTATGCATACCTAGATGCATTATCCATGCAAGTTTAGTCACCGCAAGGTTTATAGTTACCTGGAATGAGACCTGCTCAAAAAATTTTAACCTGTTCATTTATCATACAAGTTAAGTCATTATAGGATAGGGCATACAGTTACTTGGGAATTAGCCCTGCTCCAAAAACTTGAACCTGTTCATTCATCCATGAAATGTATGTCAGATTCAGCATCTAAAGGAAGTCTGGTATCCTCTGCTTGTAAAACTTTAACTTCCAAAATCTTCAATTTATGCTTTGATCATGCATCTAGTATGTTTCATTGTACCAGTCAGGTTTCAGAGGCAGCATTTTCTCACAAAATATTCCATAAAGATGACCAGTTTGAACAGCTGTATGAACACACATTTGAGAAGACGGATATATCACCAAAAAAAATTAACAATGTCTTAAAATAACTAAAATGAATTAATGTCTGCCTAAGAAAAAATGTGAAATTTAAATCCTTAGAAAGAAAACTGCCCCAAAATCCGAAACCTGAGATGTCAATGCTGATGCTAATACCAACACCGAGTATAATATCACAACTCCCTATGGCCTACAGAAGACAACTTTTGATTTTGAGGTCACTCAATAGGTCAAAGTTCAAGGTCAGAAATTCATAGATGAAAACTTATCCTCTTTGAGCTTTCTTAATGAAGTAATATACTATTATTCCTAGTGACTTAAAGAAGATCCCTTTTGATTTTTAGGTCAAAAGGTCATGTAAGAAATCCAAACAATTCAAAAAAAAAAAAGGTTTCCAGATGATAACTTTAGTTTTTCTTGAGCTTTTTCTATAAAATATTTTATTTCATAACTCCCCTTCTGATTTTTAGATCACAAGGTCATGGTCAAAATTTCATATCTTGCAAAAAAAAATTCCTGGTGCTAACTCTAGTTCTTTCGAGCATTTGCAATGAGATTTTATACCTTTAATCAATATACATGTAACTTAAAAAGACTCATATTGATTTTGAGGTCAAAATTTCAAAGACCAAAGTCAGAAATTCATATGTTGCATATACAATTCAGTTGATAACTTAAGTTTTCAGTAAGATCTTGCAATGAAAATTAAGGTCATGAATTTCTTCTCTAAAGAAGACCCTTACTGACTTTAAGGTCAAAAGCTGGGTTTTTTTCTTTTTCCATCTGCATATTTTATTTTTAGTTGTTTCACTCTCTTCTTTCTTCCTTTAAGATTGGGGATACAAATTCTCTGAATTATTTTGTTTGCAACAGAGGTCATCTTTTTGACCATGTGATTCCAACTTAGTTCCTGAATGAGCTCTTATCACAACATATATTGCAAATACAATTATCTTCAACCAAACATTTTTCAAGATATTAAACAGAAACTCAAAATCTAATTTTAGCAAAATGTCATACCCTTTGACCGCTGCATATGACTATACCATGGTGAAAATGTGAACATTCCACCCTACATTCTTTTTAATTTATTCAAGAAAACAACATTGGACAGGTATAGATACTCCTAACATGTCCCACCTCATTCTTGTAGGTAAAGGTCAGGTATAAAAAATGTCCAAGTTATGAGATTGAATAAGCATTTCAATATTAAAAGACATCAATATCGTGTTGACCTTGTGACCAATACAGCAAGACTCTATAAAATACCATCTTGTAAGGAAAAGCTAAGTCACCACCCTATTGCTCTTTATTTCCAATTAAAAAAGGGGGATCTGGTCTTGGAATCTGTGCTTTGAAGCAAATTTGATTGAAATTAAGCTTGTGGTTCTAGGGAAGAGAAGAAAATGTAAAATAGGCTTCATTTAGAAAAGTACACTTAAACCTTTCACTTGTCGGAGCTGAAAGATAAACATCCATCACTGTGACAAACTTAGGAGCATTTATGTGCCTTAACATACATAACAGGTACCTTTATTTTGGAAAATAAGTGAAAAAGGAAAAGGATAGCAATAGATACAAATAAAAACACCTCTGTGTACATGTATGTGTGGATATATCAATAATTTTCATACCAGGTCTAAATATAATAACACGTCTCCCCTCCTTGTCTCGATGAGGGAGCACCCCCGTTACTCCAGCCTCTAAAACATGCTTCACTGCTGATGGTCGGAGATTTTCAAACAACTTTGGATTTTCCTTCTTCATTTGGAAATGTGTAAGGATGAGGTTATATGCTCTGTCATAGTCAAACTTTTTGGCTCTCAGAAAGCGTAGCAAGAAAACATCATCTGTCCGAATTTGAAGCTCTAAGAAATAGAATACAATAAAATACATTATTACATAGCTAATAAATAGTTTATAATAAAAAACTACTAAAAGTCTAGAGAATTTTAGCATTCAATATCTTGGCATCTTACTGAACACTGAGTTACTTTGTATTATGTATCATGAGTATGCCTGAAACATTCCGAATACGAGCTTTCAAAATCGAACACCCAGTTGTAAACAAAAGATGTTGTCTGGTCAACCTCTCAAAGGAAAATTTATGATAGGTAGTGGAAGCTAGGTAAGATGTGCTTATTGTGCAAAACTGAAATTATTAATTAATAATTTAGTACGTATTAGCCTCAATAATACCTCAATAAGCAGATCATAACACTTTGTAGGGTCATTGGAATGATGCATTATTGAACACTTACAGGACAGATGTTAATTTAAATACCGATACTGAAAATTCTTATTAATTCGAATTATTTAGTCGAAATAATTAATATAAGTAAATCAATGAGAGATGTTTTAGCTTTTTAATGAAAGAGTTATTGAACTTATATTGGTGAATACTGGCACTCGTTGGCTGTACAAATGCTCTCACAAACTCATGCATTTGCACAGCCAACTTGTGCCAATATAAGTTCAATAACTCTATAATATTATAAACATTTGAACTTCAGTATCTCAAACACCAATATCTCGAATACCATGTATATTTTGAAGTTAATTAGAAGTCCCAACTATTTATTTTTTAAGTAGTTTACCCTTGATATCTTGAAGCCTCAGATATCATTGAAAACGAGATACCGAGGTTTTGACTGTACATATATATAAAATTTAATATATGACTGATATTTCATCTCATATGAATAAGAAACAAATCACAAAGACATATTTTATTCTTAAATACTATAATTTTCTCCATTTCTAGAGTTCTTGTGTCAAAAAAACATCTTACAGAAAAATGCAACATCACATTTTCCAAAAGCTGTTTGTGGGTGTGTAAAACCTATTACTTTGGTACAAAGTAATCATTTATACCTTGTTATCATTTTTGACCTCTACAGATAGAAATTGTTTACTTTTCTTCACCTTTATTTTTATTCACCATGTCTCTGAGAGCTTGGATATCTCGATTTCTCCATTCCGCCTTCTCATTTAACTCCTTTTCTGCCTTCTGTATTAGTTCTGGGGAGAGTGTACACTGGTAACCACTGGAAGACGAATTCCTTCCTTCCTCTGCCATTATATCTAAAAATAGAGCAATGCAATATTATAGTACATCAAACCGTGTAATGCACTCACCAGATATATTTAGTGTTATAAGCCTGATAAAAATTCAAGCATGGGTACAACTACTTTTAATTCAGTATTGATACTGGTCAACAGTTAATTCTTAGAATTTCTGGGGGTCTTACGCATGCATGGACTAATTATTTGTTGCCTGTCTGTAAAACCAAAAGTCTTTACCTCCCTGTGCAGTAAATGACAATTTATTAGGTAGTCCTCAGTAAACTTACAATGTCTGATAAGAAATGCATATCCCATATCAAGTGCCAGTGAGACTATTGTGTAAATATGAACATTTGATATGTCTTCCATATATCACAAATCTGAAACAAGGGGTGTTGAATTCAGGACAGACATTGAAAGGAACATATACAGCAGGTATAAGTTTGAACACAATTTATTGTGTAACTACAGAAACACATACACAAAGGGATTGTAAAACTTCGGTTTCAGATTTCTCTGCATATAATACTTTAAGACTTAAAAGCATAAAATCTCTTACAATAGCTTGTCAGTGAAACTCCCTCTTCATTTTGGCCTTAAATATTATATACATGTATGTAATACCCTAGCCTATAAATATTTTCCTATACAAATTCTACATGTAATCCCCCCACCCCAAGGAATTAGATGTTGAGGAAAGAGGACCAACAGTTTAAATATTGGTCCAGCTGTGATGCCAATTTTGGTCCAACATGAAGACTGTTGTCCCCCTTATGTCACTACTATAATAGATTGTTAATTTCAGGCATGACAGAATTACCTGAAGTGAATGCATACTAGCTGTCCTTTCATAAAAAGATGGCATGATTTGTCAATCAACATATGGTGGCTAGGGTATAACAAAAATGCACTTTACATGAATTTCACTGAAGTGTTCTCTCTGAAATTCAATCATGTTGAAAATTCATTTTATTCTCTTTTCACGTCAATATCATTTGAAACTAACATAAAGTAATTTGTTTGTGTATGATTTTTTTGTTGTCTTAATTTGACCACCTGTTGTAGTAATAACCTAGCACCGTGATTTGATGAAACTGAATCTATTTACAGTATTGGGTATTACTTTTACAAGTACTAGCTGGATATGTATTAATTTCTTGCTGTTCTTGAGAAATACCAGAAATCAAATCACTTTTCATTTGTGAAATTTCTTTTTTGCATAATTATGTGACTCTGTTCTCCCATGAAAATTTCATTCTTGCATATACATGTATTTGCCAACTAAAATAATGATTTTTTTTTTCTAACTTAAATATACCAAATAACTGTCTTGTGAAAAAAAGGAGTAAAAACAATTTGATGATCTGCAGGATACCTACATTTTTGTATTATGGCTGTTGTGTAAATACATTATCTGAATTACAGAATAAAATGTTTTTTTAAATACAAAGACAATGCTTTTTTGTCACTGAAATAAAATTGAAATTCTTTCGAATAATTACAAAGCACAGGAATCCAAAAATAATAAATAGTATAAAATAAAAGTGTTTTACTGTCCAATATTTTACGAAATCTGCAAATCTTGGATCCACTTTAACGAGAACGTTCTTATCATGTACATGTATTCCACGATTTGAGCTTCGATGATAATCATATATTGATAATATCAACTCTGTGTGAGGACGATACACATATTGATAGGTATGTAGAAAAATTGATATTGCAAAAAAAAAAAATTCTGACTTATTTTTTCTTTGTTTACTTAACATTTTGGGTTAAATATATAAGATAAACATGCTAAATATAAGTATCGATAAAAAAAGTTGCATTGCCCAAGCCCTGTCCACAATCACTTAAATATCTTAATATACCACAGCTAATGTAACAGCATTTTTCCAGGGTATTCCTCAAGATATTTTCTGCATACTCTCATAATAAAGCATACTAAATAAAAGTTCAGCTGCATTGTGTCCATAGTTTCAATTGCTGGTATGAAGAGTTCCTGTCCTTGACACTTTGCATTTCAATCACACCACTAGCTATCAATTAAATTGGATTTTTTTTACTTTCAATCAACACTTTCCTCCTCTTCATTTTAAAATTAAATCATGGCTCCTCAGATTTTTGCACATATTTACTTTTTTTAACCACATTCATGTCACAAATCTGCCATTCTCTGTTAAGAGGCTCAAGTCAAATTTCATTACATCCCCTAGTTAGGAGTGCATTGAAATCCATATCATAATCATTCAGTTTAATCTCTCCAAAACAGTTCATTTCTATTTCTTTGCATGCCTGAGTTACATGTCATATTAAATCCACATTGTTCGATAAAAAAATCTAGGTCTAAATTTCTTAAATTGTTTATAGCAAGTTGAGAAGTTACAATTCAACATCCTCTCTCATTGATACACAGGCAAAAATTTGCACATAAACGATTTCTTTTTTATACTGGAGAAAAGGAGAGAATATATATCCATGCTGTCACCTGACAAAAACTAGATTTTTTTATTTACACTATAAATTAAAAATCACAGGTCACATTACAATTAATGATGTTTTAACTGGCCATGATTAGGGCTGTATCAATATATCGATATTCAAGAATGTATCGTATTGAAAAAATAACTTCCAATATGTATCGGGCAGTCAGTTTTTCTTATAATTTTGTGAAAAAGTTGGGAATTTCAATCACCAAAGATTTAAATGATTTACAAGACTTTTCTGATAGACTTTTTCAAAAATCCAATATATCGCATATCGCTTTATAAAATATCGTATCATGTTGTATCGAAATTTTTTGCTCAATGCACAGCCCTAGCCATGATTCAAGAAAGTTATAGTCAATGAATATTTATTATGTTGTAAGTATCTTGATTTATTTGAATGAAGGGGTGGAGAATCATACTTCATACTCATCACTGCTCTTTGTCCAAATAAATCAGGATACGCTACAACAAATACACAATAACTATATCTTAAAGATATTCTATTTCCTTTTTTACTACTGACCATCTTAAAATGTTTTGTCTCCTCACTCTATATGTAGCAGCATCTCAAGCCCCAAGGGTAAATGACTTTTTCACCATATAAAACAAGATGCCATGGGCTATAAAGCAAACCTGAGTTACCTTGGCCTTTCTGTTCTTCAGTGGTCCCAACCTACCCCTGAGGGCATGATTTAAACAAACTTGAATCTGCATTACCTGAGGATGCTTGCATATTAATGTCACCGGGTTCACAGGTGCGTGAAAGTCAGTCAATATATCGGGTCTCAGTAGCTCAGTGGTTAGAGCGCTGGCACGGTAAGCCAGAGGCCCTGGGTTCGAGTCCCGGTTGAGACTTGATTTTTCACCACCTGTGACATTTGGCACCCAATGTACAAATACCCACTATTCCCTTGGAACATGCTTCACGCATTTCCTTACCTCCTAGAATTCGAGGACGAATTTCTACAAAGAGGGGGAATATGTCACCAGGTTCACAGGTGCGTGAAAGTCAGTCAATATATCGGGTCTCAGTAGCTCAGTGGTTAGAGCGCTGGCACAGTACGCCAGAGGCCCTGGGTTCGAGTCCCAGCTGAGACTTGATTTCTCACCACCTGTGACATTAATATGAGTTGACTAATTATGACCATGCTCTTGAGAAGTTTTTATTATATTTTTTTCTATATATTCTCAGGTAATACTAAAGTAATACTTAATCCTCTTTTCTAGAATCACCCTACCCCAGGGGCCATGATTGGAACAAATTTGAAGCTACACTACCTTAGGATTCTTGCATATTAATAGGCATAAGTATTGCAGATACCCATTGATACAATGCATATCATGATACTGTCATGCCATATAATTTGTATCACGCCACAGTTGACCATTACTGTAACTCAAAGTCAACATTTTTGGGTTATACCCAAGCCTGCAGTTTCCAGGGAATGAAATGGCACCACAATATAATAGAAAAGAAGAAGATAAATAAGATTCATTAAGAGGGACCAGAATAAAGCCCTCCTGAACACTGGCCAGGTTTTTTACAATTTCAGAATCTGGCCACTAGCAAATGAATATGTTGACTTTGTAACAGGCAGGGAAAAATGTCGGCCAGACTGGGACTCGAACCCAGGACCTCCCGCTTACCGTGCGGGTGCTCTAACCACTGAGCTACCGGGCCGACATACCCTAATTAGAAAAATCTAACTGTGTCTCGGGACAAGCCCTCAACACAGTTAGAATACGTCCCATATACTTGCAATGTAGCAAATCGGAGAGGATCCACTCCGAAATGATTTTGAAGAATACAAAAGGAGTTGCACTGAAAATAACTACCAAATTAATCATAACAAACCTTTTTGAGATTGTATATGCCTTTTAACCTAAAAAATAATCCATATAAATACGAAATTTCAACTCATTTTCTCAACGTTTTTTCCTCGCTTCAAATTTTACGCCATGTTGACATTCGGAACTCTCTGGATTGTTCATAGAAAATGCACAGAGTTCGAGTTATCGCCCGTCTTTATTTTGCAACATTGCCAATACACGGAACGAATTCTATCGTTAAACCGGGTCCGTAGGACATCATTTTAACGATAGAACGTTCTATCTAGACGTACCCAGTCCCCGTTACAACTTCATTATTTACTATTTAGACAGTCTATCCTCTTTTCCCCCTAAAAATAAGAAATCTTTTAAAGACAACCGAATTCTTCGTCTCATTGGAGGAGGGGGTACCGGGTTAACCAGTTGTAAGTAAATATTTGTCAATCAGTCTGAGATTTTTAGATGTCTTTTATGTTTACAAGTACATATAAACCCCTTCCTAAACCTGTCATTGAAATGGTGACATCAAAAGCTAACGTTACAGATCGGTAAAACTGAGAAAATTCGGTTAAAATCGTGTTCTGTATATTAAAGAAGGCTTTCATGGCAGAATCAAGAAAGAAATTCCTCCCAGAAATCTTTACTTATTCCTTAATTTTTTTTCATAGCAAAATTTGACCGTCTGTCACTGTGACCTACCTTTACAGTCACTTCGAAGAAGTTTTCACGTTTGGCTCAGCGTTACAACTCGACAAACCAAAAGCGGATGTTGATTACAAGGTCAAGGAGAAACGTGATGATCTTTTTTTTTTTTAAATCTATAACGAAAAAGCTTTCGGTAATAAATATAAGGTATAAATGATAGAAAACATCAAAAATACTTTAAAAAATAAATTAATACTGTTATTATATTAGGGTTCTACCGAAGTTCACATTGTGCATCACGTGGTCCAAGATGCTGATGCTGAAAATGGCAAGACTGGAGAGAACGTGCAAAAGACTAACGCAAGAGAGCCGCAGTCACTCGGGACGGTACTTATGTTATATGTTGTAGAAACAAAAACGTGGGGTGTTCTTGAATTTAAAAAAAAAAAATTACATTCTGTTATGAATGAGTATTTAGGGACATCTGATTCCTATTGTGCAAAAAGATGATTTTGTTTGTTCTTTATTTCATAATTTGTATCTTCTTGCATAAATCATGCCTGTTATGAAAATTTCATCTATCCCCATCATACTAATATTATCAAAGATGTTACCTCTCCTGTGGTATTGATTCAATGTTCATAACTTTTTTTGACAATTTTAGATGAAAAAAATTATTCATGCTTCTTTATATTTTAAATTCAATCAAGTACAGTTAAATTTTAAAACTGCAACTTTTGTCATACTTTTATATTCAATTCAATTTATTTATTGATTCACCAAACATGTTGGCATACAACCATGTTACAAACAAAATGAAAAAATACAGTGTGTTTTCAGATTACTAAAACATATAACGTACGTTACATGTACTAAAGTACATACATACATGCAAGTGTACAAATCAGTGAAGTCAACTACGTTTACAACTTGAAGTTATACATAATCATTATGCAAATAGTATAGACAGTATAATATGGACAGAGATGAACTAATTAATGCATTAAATATATATTATTGTGCTCTATTTTTAGAATGCAATTCAAAACATTCATGTAATTTTTATAAGTACAAACCAGTAGAGCAATAGTCTTAGTGGGGACTTTTGGTTTATTTCTCTGCTATATGCTTTTTTTTTTCAAGGTGATGTATTAAGTGACATGGCGGAGTTTGGTTGGGGTCTGTCAGAAGATTTGATAAAGAAATCTAAGCAGGAATTAGGGGAAGATCAGACAAGACGCTTTGATGATTTATCTGATGTCAGAGAGCAGATTGAAACTCGACCAGATATAAGTAAATATTTGTCAATCAGTCTGAGATTTTTAGATGTCTTTTATGTTTATAAGTACATATAAATTTTGTTAACATGCTTATATTAAAGGAGTTGCTATGGTACTCGCAATAGAATACTCTGAATCAGATGTCATAAATTCTTTTAAAATGCTAATATTTATATGAGTAAAATAATATATTGCATACAGACAAAGTAACAAATAAAGGAACACTAATCTTACTTCAGATCTGTGATCTCAAGGCATGAATTTTTTTTCTAAGTATTACATAAAGTGATACTTAAAATCATTATATGTTTGTGAACTCAGGTTGATATTTTTTATCTCTGTTCCAGCATTTCTTAGAACAGATGATGCATTCCTTCTGAGGTTTTTAAGAGCCAGAAAATTTGATACAGTGGAAGCTTTTAAGTTATTTGCAAGATACTTCGAATTCCGTCAAAACAATCCAAGTCTTTTCAAGAACTTCAATGCCTCTGAGCCTGGTATCAAAGCCTCACTATATGATGGTATTCCAAGTGTGTTACCGAACTGTGACCAGCAAGGGAGGAAAATTATTGTGGTATTTGCTGCTAACTGGGACAGTGGCCGATACCAGCTACCCTCAGTCTACAGGGCAATACTTTTAACATTAGAGAAGTTAATCGATGATGAGGCCTGTCAAATTAATGGATTTGTCATCGTTGTGGATTGGAGTCAGTTTACATTTGGCCAATCAAGGTCATTAAATCCAAAAGTTTTAAAGCAAATGGTGGAAGGACTGCAAGTGAGAGGCTTTACCTTAATTACGTTGTTAAATGAATATTTTATTTTCTGTTTCTTACACCTTGCTCTCTTGGCATACTTATATTTTATTTAAATAAAAAAGTGAATTTTAATGTATTTTAAAACTTCTAACATTACAATTCTCTTTGTAATGCATATATTGATTTTTACTTAAAAAGCAGAACAAATTTCAACTAATTTTGGTTTTCCTCCCAGGGCTCTAATTGGTGACTAATTTAGTCGCCATGGTGCCTAAAAATTATGATTGGCATCTAAAATTTTTCTATAAGTCACCAAACTGGCAACCATTTTAAATTTACTGGGTATTCGTCAAATTACTGAGCTATAAACATTTTCATTTTTTTTATAAAAGCAGAAAAGAAGTTTTAAAGTTAGCAATGGACATGTCTCGTTATATTGACTAATAACAGTTTTTAAATTGGTGCCTAAGAAAAATTTACCTGGTGACTAAAAATTTGCATTGGCGACTAATTTTTTTTGATAAGGAGCCAGTTGGCGCCTAAATTTTAGAAGTCACGTAGAGGCATGCCTCTTTTAACTTGAAATTTAGATGAAAGCATGAAATGATAAAAATATTGGATCATAAAGGGATTGTATGAGAAGAAGTTTTGAATAGAAGGTGTTGAGGAAGCATGTTCCCTTGAATAAATCTTAAAAGCTTTGCTTTATAATAGCTTCACTTCCTCTATTCAAAAAGTGCTATCCAACGTAAAATAAAACAAGAAAAAAATTGTTCTCTCTGTTTCATTATAATATCAACTAAAGTTTCTTGTTTGACAGGACTGCTTCCCAGCTAGATTTGGTTCCATTCACTTTGTTAATCAACCCTGGTACATTGAAGCTATCTGCAAGATCATCTTGCCATTCCTGAAAGAAAAAAGTAGAAGAAAGGTCTAGTACATGTTTCAATCTATATTATAGTTCTTTTTGTTAGTAATCTATTTTGAAACTTCAACACCCTAAACCATATAAAAAACATAGTGAATTAAAAAAGGGGGGGGGGGGTACTGAAAAAAAAGGTGTTTCAGTAATCTGGACCATCAAATGTAGATTTTCTCAGGAACACTAACTGTCAGATACAGTTTAAAATATTTTGAATGAAAAGAGTATACTATTAGCAACCTGATGAATGCAAAAAAAATGAGAGTTATTGTATCAACTGCATCTTTTCCGAAATTTCATAAATGAAGCAAAATTTACTCAGAAGTAATTCAGATAATCAATATTCTTTCAATTCATGACTTATTTAGTAAATATACCAATACATGTACTTCACTTTTTTCACCTCCCAACCCCTTACAAGCAAAGTTTGGGTGATGTAAAGAAAAAACCTTGTCCATATGTCCTTTTGACCATCTGCATTTGTCTGTGATGGCTCATACATTACACAGAAATTGCTCATCACCTGAGGGTGTTTCATGATCTTTACCCAAACTTATTTGGGGAACTTCAAGGCCAACAGTAGAAAAAAATTATAATAAATTTCATGTCCAGCTCATAATTTTCTTCTGGATGAATATTGGAAGTTTGTATTGTACAAATAGATAACATATTGCATGAGGATGTGCCATGACTTGAAGTCTTTGACTCAAGTTCCTTTTAATAAGTTCAAGGTCACTCACAGAAAGATGATTTATTCCAGCCGTGGCCATATCCTGTAATGGAGAAGCACTGGAATCTCAAACTCTGCACAAAGATTGCTTATGACATAAGGGTGTGCCATGACTTTTACCCATGCAAGGTCATTTTTTGAAAGTTCAAAGTCGCTGTCACAGATGGAAAAAATGTAAATTTGTGTCTGGTTCCTAACTTTGTCACCAAGAGTTTCTTGTTACGGTACATGTATCAATTTTTAAGCCCTCCCCCTCCCCCCTCCCCCCCCCTTGCAATGCTTTTTTGGGAGGAAGGGGAGTTAATCTGGACTCTCCTTGTCCTTCTGTTGGTAGTTAATTGTCTTGAGATTATCTCTGAATTTAAAACTACTGTCAAATTTTTAAAATAATGTTTATCATTTAAGTGTACTTTTTTAAAAATGATTTAAATGGATTTTTTAATGTTTTATGATTGCAAATTTCTTCTGTGACAGGAATAAGAAATATAAAATTCTTGTCCAAACGACATTTTGAAACAGATGTTCAGAAGCTCATGCTTGATACAGATGTGGCGGTCAGATGGATTTGATTGGTGGCCAGTGGCCAGATAGCTCAATTGGTCATGTGACTGGAGATTCAGGGGGCCTGGGTTTGAATCCCGGTCTGGTCCATCGCATTTTTCTCTTCTAATATTACACAAAGTTTACTTGTGATTTGAGGTGTATCTTGACTCTGTACCAAGGACATATGGTCACATCACAAGGCTATGAATCATTCAATTATTACCATGGTCACAACTTTATAAATGAGAGAAATTTCCTACAAAGGTTGCTTTTGATTAGAGGGCATTTTGTTACTTTAAACCAGGTCATTTGGACAAGGTCACAGATTTCAGAAGTGTAATTTTTTTGGCCAGAACTTTGAAGTGGAGAAACATGACCTGATTATACTTGGTACCAAGGTTGCTTGTGACCAGGAGGTGTGTAAAGACCTTGTGGTCATTGTGACAAGGTCTAGATCATTGGGATACTGTAGATTCCTAAATATACGCGAGGAATAAATTATTGCGTAATTACGCAAGAAGCACCACTCGCGAAATAAAATTACTCGCTTTTATTTTTATGATGCTTTAATGTATGTAAAATCTCTAGAGAAATCACAAATTCGCGAATTATTGTTCTCATGATTTGACGTCATTGGGCCATTTCGCGATATTAAGTACTCGTGTAAAATAAGGAATCTACAGTAATTAGCTGGAAGTGTAAATTTCTTGTCTATTCCATATCATTTTATTTTCAATTCGCTTCTTTTGGCGCTACGGAGCATTTAATATGACCTTTTTGCACTGTAATTACGTCTAACACATAAATCAAATTTTCAAAGTTTTTCCCCTAATATTTTTTATCCAAATAAATTATGGGAACAAACACAGTGGGTTTTTTTTCATCTTGAAATAGTCACAATAAAATTTGTGACAACAAAAGTTTCAAATTACTTCACATAGTCAAATATTTGACCTTTCTGTACTCAAAAAATTGTCATCTTTCTGGCATTAAAAATTTAACAAGCAATAAAATCATTTGAAAGTAATGACATTTTTCTGAATTTAAGCAGAATCATTAAAAATGTACATTCAGAAAAGAAAATTAAAAGTGGGGGTCTGTGATGTTAATTTTTAGATATTACTAAAATTGTGTTAATTTTAAGGTTTAATTGGGCCATTTTTTTCCCGGACTTTCACAATATATTTTTATCACCCAATATTTGCAGATTTTATTGTGAACATTTTTCCAGCAACATTTGTGTACAGCTTTTTTGAAAACAAAGTACTTTTAGGTACAGTCAAACCTTGCTTTAATTAATCTTGACCTCAGTGGGACAAAGAAGAAAACTTCAAGATATCCAAGGGTTTAAGAAATTTAGGTTGTGATACATGTACATGAAATGTGGTTGGAGCTTTCAATTCACTTCAGTATATCCATGGTATTTTAGATATTGATAACTTTATTTCTTTTCCATTTCAATCACAGATACATATGCATGGGATCAATTTGGGGACTCTCCACAATTTTATTCACAAGGAGGCCTTACCTGCTGAACTTGGAGGAACTTTGCCTGAACACAATATTATGAACTGGGCTGCCGAGCTTGTTGGAGATGAGAGCTTCAGTTTTGGTGATAAACACATATACTGGCCAGATCATTGTTTCATTAAGTAAGTCAAGACCAAATTTTTTACATGGCCTTTATACTTCATTTATCAACACAGCTTAAAGTTTATTTTATATGATGAACTATTTGAGTATATTTCAAACCTGAACTTTATTATTAACAACAAAGTTGCAAGGGGATGCAAAAACACTTGCATTTTGGGTAGTCACTTCAAGGTCAGAGGTTCAAGGTGATCAATAAGAGTACATTATTGGGCTCTGCATGGTTGCCTCTCATTATTTTTGACTCACCTGAACCTTACTGCAGATGAATTATTATCATACCCATCTATCATTATCCTTATCTCTACCAAATTTTTGGGCCATTGTGAAAGTGTTTCATACTTAAAGACATATGCTCATACATTGTCTTAGTCAACTTTCTCCCATCTCTCTGTATCATTTGTCCATGGGGAGTGAAATCAATGTTTGGAACTATTGTGCACTTATAATAAAACAGTACCCTGAAGAGACAGCTATTTTAGCCAAATTATCAGTTTTTATGTGACTATGTTTGTATGTTCTGTTGTAGGAAAAGATCCGACACATTCCCTTCCTCTTTCCATTTGAAACAGAAATTGGATCAAAGTGGAGATTTTAGAAGTAACACCAGACTGGATGAAGATTTCTTCCTCATTGACTGATGATAAATAAATTCATGGAGAGTTGATTGAGAAATCCTTTACTTTCTAAGTACATGTAAGGTATTCAGCTGTAAGAATTGCCCTCAAAAACTATAAAGTATTCAGTTGTCATGTATAATGACATAACAATGTGTTTTCTGAATTGTGCATGGTACTTGTTGAGTATCCATAGATTTGTGATTTTGTTTGATATATATACATACATATGATATTATCCAAATATTTGATTGTGCAATATTATTTATGCAGCTATAAGAAAATGCTTGTGCTCTTGTTAAAGAATTTGAGAAAATCCTCATCAGTTTTTATTAGGATGTCTGCCCATAATCTCTGTCAAGAGACTTGGAAGCAGGTTATACATTTGCGTGTGTTTTTTTTTTTATTTGCAAGATCAATCAAAAAAAGATTTTAGTGAATTTTGAAAATACATGTATGTGTAAGGTGTGCCATTAGAAATTTTGAAATGAATTTCTTTTTTAGATTGAACACACATTTAATTGAGCCAAAATATTTAGTTTTAGCTGTTGTCTAACTGTAGTCATTGTTACACTGTAACTTCTACAAATTACAAAATCAGGAGAAAGTTTCAAGTTTACACACACACACACCCTAACACCCCTCCCCCACCTATAAACATGTTTAAGAACAAAGTTTTACCAAATTTTTTGAACTTTTCATTATTATATTAATGAAAAAAATAGGTATTATTATATTGAAGTTTCAGTATTATTCATGAAAAAAAATTCATGAAATTTTTTAAGCATTGATTATTTTCAGGTTTTTTTTTTTAATTCATGTTTCATGAAAGCAGTTGAAAAGAATGATTCATGAAATTTGATATTACTGGTAAACTATTATCCACAATAATACATGCATAACTCTGCTACATGTATAGTCCTTAGTCCTTACTAGTGCCATTAGCTATCTTCATACAATAGATAGGTATGTTAGGATAGTACATGTTCTTCCAAACAAATTCAGTGAAATGATCTGAAGGGTTTAGTGCAATATGTTTAGACTTTAACCTCATGTCTTTCGTCACTGATCAGTGTGATTAGAGTGTCTCCTGTAATCCGTGAACTTCTTGATAGTTCCCTGGCTGAAGAACTTGAGTATTGGTAAGTCTTCATCTGTAATCTTGTTCTTATTGCTATTCCTGTCAGGAAAGTATAAAATACCTTCTTTTTTCATTGTTCCCTTTTCTTTCAGATGAATCAATAAAATAAGAAATTGCTGAATACTGGTAAAGTAATAGAAAAAGTTGTTTTACAAAATACTAATTTGTAGTTACGTATTCTACCTCCAAAAATTAGTGGAAATTACCATGGAAATTAATTGCATGTGCAACATAGAGAAAATGTTGCGCAAGTCCTATGGTCTAAGTCCTATAGTCAATCTCGCATACTCGTATGCAAATTGAGCATTGGTTTTTGACACTGAAAATATTTAATTTGAAAATGCAGTGTATTGTGGCATTAATATACTTTTCATAAAAATTTGAATTGGGAGTTTGAGCAATATTTGTCATATATACTAAAAGCAAAGAGAAAAAGTTTCTGAGTCATCAATCATAAATACTTGAACATATTATATAGCAATAACTATAAACATATTGTTACAAGTCAAATTTAAAAGAATTGTTGAGAGAAAAAATAATAATATTTTCTTCACCATAAATCAAGTCTCAAACCAGAAGGCACATTTCTATCAGAAATTTCTGGTAGAAAATATATGACAATATACACAGTATACATGAAATCCAGTCTTCTTTTTTGTAATAACATTTTTGTAGGTTTATATGAGACATAAACAGGCAAAATAGTGAAAATACATGTATTAGCACATTATGGTCCCACAATCACTTGTTTTGTATAATAAAATGAATAATAATGATATTATACTATGGGTTAAAAAATAGTGGATGTGTATGGTTCATTGAGTTGATTTTGAAATATTAGAATTATTGTTATGAATTTTGTTTTCAGTATTGTCTGAATAAATCACTTATCCTAAATAAAATCAACCAATGTTTCTTTGTCTCAGATTTTATTGAACTTGGCAATGACTATATAAACCAAGTCCACCTGTTTTTCCAGTAAACTTCATAACATAAAATATGTTTGAAAATATACTCTCATCTTATGTGAAAAGTTTTCCCTGAAAAATGCAAATGACTTGCAGATATTTTTCCTTAACAGGAAAATACATGACTATAGTACAATGTACAAATACTAGCTGTTCAAAAATGAAATAATACTCAAAACGGCTCTGTAACATTTTAAATTTCAGTTTGATCAATAATTAAAACAGCAGTTCAATTTATTAATTCCTCCTCTATTTGATGTAGGCGGGAATGCAGTCCATGCTTTGGTTCAGTTTCCTCATGATATTGTCGAATCTATCCACACCCATGTAGTCTACCTCCCCCTTCTCCCAGCTGCGCCGTCTTCTCTCCGATTCGGATTCATTCTTAATCGGGATTTTCATTTCCCTCAGTGTCTCTTCCTGACAATCGCCTGCAGCCAAGAACTGGTCACTCTGAAGGGAAGGCAATATAATATTTACTATATTTCTATTTTTCAGGAATGCGAAAGCCTCCCCCCCCCCCTTTAAAAATACACTGACCATTGTCGCTTTCTTTGTTCCCTCCGTGTTCTCTATTAGGATGGTTGCGCATCTTCTTTTTACTGAAAAATATCCATAAGACAAAAATCATGAGGATCTTTAAGTTGTTTATTGTATTGATAAGTAATGTATGGTTATTATTTCAAAATAGATGCATCGACCATTAAATTTCTTTAGATTGAGCCACTGAAAAATTGCACCAGGCTTCAAAACTCTTCATATCCTTGGACGATTTCAAAAATTTAAGGAAATCTAAATTCACTTCACTCTAAATTGACAATTACCGTGTCGGAAAAAATCTTTTTAAAAAATTAGCAAAAATCTTGCTTATGTTGGAATCCAGGTACATGATATATATTTTTATTACCTTTTTCTCTGTGTCTTTCCACGCAAAACGATACTAATCCCAGAAGTGTTAGAAACATTTTGATTCCTTGTTATATTAATACTGCTTCCATCAAATGATAGGGCCTTATACTATGACGTCATAATCGTTGTTGATACGTTACGTCACAATAAGATAGGTCAAAGTTTCCCATATGTTCAAACTGACACATTTTACAGTTGTAAAAACAAATAACTTTTAAAGTCAATTTAATAAGTAACATATCACCATTTTATAACATTCACTTTCGTTGTATGCTGTTATACTTGTAACACTGCATACCTTTTTTTTTAAATGTGTACAAGTAATTACATGTAGTCCCCTACCGGTGAAACCGGAGGGGACTATAGGTTTCCTCAGAGCCTGTCCGTCCGTCTGTCTGTCCCTCTGTCTGTCTGTCTGTCAGTCTGTCCCACTTGGTTTTCCGCACTTTTTTTCTAAACGCTTTTAGATATTGAGCTGATTTTTGGAATGTGGGTGAATCTTGATGAGTTACAGATCAACTTTGCATTTCGTTCCGCTTCAATGATTTTTGACGGAATTACCTTTTCAATTTTTCAGGGTTTTCCGCAATATTTTTCTAAACGCTTGCAGATATTAAGCTGATTTTTGGTATGTGTATGGAACGCCATAGCTGCCTGAAGGTCATTTTCATATTATATGAGGTGGAATAACCTTTATGTGAAGTGGTGAAGTCATTATATATAGTGGTAAAATCATTATATTCAATGAAAACTTTATTATATGCAGTGGTTTTATCATTATGTACAGTGATAAAATCATTATATTCATTGAAAACTTTATTATATGCAGTGGTTTTATCATTATATTCAGTGGCAATGTCATTATATGTAGTGGTTAAATAATGTAATGAAGTGATAATATCGATACATTATGTTGTAAAATCATCATATGCAGTGGTTTTTCCATTTTATACATTACTGATATCTTTCTGTGCTGTGATGAATTCAATATATACAGTACAAACATAATTTGTGTGGTAAAGCAATCATTACATTGTATGAAACCCGCTGCATGTGGAGTGCCAAGTTAACTTCATTCAGTGCGACACCTTTACATGAAGTGAAAAATCTATTATGTGCAGTACTAACATCATTATATTATATAGTAAAATTATTATATATATTCCTTAAATCATACTTTGCAGTAGTAACATCTTTATATGAGGTGGTTAATTAATTATATGATGTTGTTAATTTGTTATATGAATTGCTCAAATCTTTATATGCATTAGACGTTTCATGTTATGCAGTGGTAACTTCTTTATCATCATCTAAACTGGTCCTTTTATTTAAAAAAATGCGCGGAGTTCCAGTTTAAAGAGTGTTTGAAAATAGGAAACCCGGGCCGTGGCAAATTAAAAGCCGGGACTATTCGAGATTTTTCTAATTTCTGATTCTATTATACAGCTTCCTGATTTTATCAACTGTGCTGAAATTTTAAGACTCATTTTTATAGGTTAATGTGTATTCGCTGTAAAAATTGCATTTAATTTTAAAATACTTAGTAATTTAGATTTTCTTGGCGATTGTTGATTTCCAAGTTCAGTGGTGGATCCAGGAATCTTGAAAAGGGGGGCCCGACAAGTTTTTGGTCGGGGTAGGTAGCCCACAGCCAAACCAAAAAACAATTGATTTATTAAATCTTATGTATATTCTGGACACAAGGGGGGGGGGGGGGACCCATAGGCCCTCTCTGAATCCGCCCGTGAGGTTGGTAAATCGGGTAGGCAATCAAGTAGACATTTTACGTGTTTTGTTTGTTTGTTTGTTGTTTTTTGTTTGTTTGTTGTTGGTTTTTTTTTTGCCATATTTGACAGAAAGCTTATAAACTTTTAAATTATTCTGATGTTAAAAATTATTCATTCTTTGAAAGGCATTTTTTGAGTGAAATGACACGTTTAAGAAAAACCGGTTCACATAGGCGTCGTAACCGGGGGGGGGGGGCTATTGCCCCCTCTTTTTTTTTTTTACAAAGGTAGACATAATATAGGCATTGAAAATTCAGGCGTAGGTCTAGCCTCCCCCCCCCCCACTTTCTACAGGCACGATTCATTGTAGTGAAAGAAGGGTAATTGGTAGTGTTTAAAAGAATTTGGTACTGAAAGAAGTTCGACCAACCCCCCAACCCCCCCCATCCACCCACCCACCCACAACCCCGAAATAGGATTTTCGGGTTTGGAGAAAGAACAATTTTCCTTTTTCTTCTTTTTTTGCTTGTCAAGTTTTTTTTTCAGGTTTGATTTTTTTTTCTATTTCAATTAGCCACCCAACTATCAATTTCCTTCCGACGCCAATGGTTCATTAAAATCGGATTTGATCTCCCGGAAGTCAAACATAAAAAATCCGAAATACTTATTCATTATCTACATGCTATTTGATAAAATATAAATTAATTAAAGAATTATCACATATACATGTAATTATAGGACTATTAATGCAAAGCCTTGTGTCAAACTTTAATCACGCGTAAGTTGCTTGGTTTAAGGATATCCGATCCTCAGCCTTGAAGGATAACTCTTAATTTTATCATTTTATTCAAAAAGGCTAAATGATTTTAATTTGGTTGTTTGTTTGCTGTTTAACGTCCCTCTCGAGAATTTTTCACTCATATGGAGACGCCACAATTTGCCAGTGGAGAGCTGCAAATTTTGTCCTATACTCGACACTTACGGCCATTGAGCAGTGAGGGATTTTTTTCGTGCCAACACCTACTGTGGAACGGGACCTCGGTTTATGGCTTTATGCGGTCTCTTACGAAGGACCGGTCTCAACGTCCCACTGTCGGATTCGAACCCGTGACGTAAGGATTGACTCTTTATTCCGCGTCTCTTAGAGCAGACACTCTAATCACCGTGCCACGTTGGCGACGGCAAAGATGAAACTTGAAAATGAAATGTTTTCATGCAGCAATTTTTATTTTAAGCATTTCAATGTGATTTAAGGTTTTCTGAAGTCTTAGAAACAGTCTTATAAATAGTTGATATTAGTAATTTAACACCCCCCCCCCCACCCCCGAAAAAAGTATTAAACAAATTACATATTTAACGTAATCCAGTTTCTTTCCATCTACTAACAAATAGATACATGTACCAGTGCACATTTGCATATTATGAAATTAGAAATGATTTATGGTGTTTTGCACCAGGTTCTTCCCGGATGATCGGATCTGGTTTAATAATCCCTTTTTTAATGAAAATGTGTATTTTGCATAAAAATAGCATTTTCAAATAAAGAAATAACTATCAAAAAGAAAAAGTTTTTTTTTTAGTTAAAATACAGTGTTTAACATCGGAATAATTTTTAAGTTTATTAGATTTTTATCAAATATGTCCAAAAAAAAAAAAAACCGCACACACATAAAATATCGCCAACCCAGTCTACCCATTTTACCAACATGGAAATCAACAATCGTCAAAAAAAAATCTAAAATACTAAGTACTTATAGCACAATGGATAAAATATTAAATCAGAAAAATGAAACTGCCTACCAATTTTACTTGAAACCAAAAATCGTAAAGAAAATCTAAAATACCAAGTATTTAAATACAATTTTTACAGCGAAAACACATTAGCTTAAAAAAGAGTCTGAAAATTTTAAATCAGAAATTTGAAAAATCTCGAATAGTCCCGGCTTTTAATTTGCCAGGGCCCGGGTTTCCTATTTTCAAACACTCTTTAAACTGGAACTCCGCGCATTTTTTAAAAATGTTTTTGCAAGAGGACCAGTTTAGAGGATGGTAAAGAAGTTACCACTGCATAACATGAAACGACTAATGCATAAAAAGAATTGACAACATCATATAACAAATTAACAACATCATATAATTAATTAACCACCTCATATAAAGATGTTACCACTGCAAAGTATGATTTAAGGAATATATATAATAATTTTACTATATAATATAATGATGTTAGTACTGCATATTATAGATTTTTCACTTCATGTAAAGGTGTCGCACTGAATGAAGTTAACTTGGCACTCCACATGCAGCGGGTTTCATACAATGTAATGATTGCTTTATCACACAAATTATGTTTGTACTGTATATATTGAATTCATCACATCACAGAAAGATATCAGTAATGTATATAATGGAAAACCACTGCATATAATGATTTTACAGCATAATGTAACGGTACTATCACTTCATTACATTATTTAACCACTACATATAATGACATTGCCACTGAATATAATGATAAAACCACTGCATATAATAAAGTCATCAATGAATATAATGATTTTATCACTGTACATAATGATTTTATCACTGTATATAAAGATAAAACCACTGCATATAATAAAGTTTTCATTGAATATAATGATTTTACCACTATATATAATGACTTAACCACTTCACATAAAGGTTATACCACCTCATATAAAATGAAAATGACCTTCAGGCAGCTATGGCGTTCCATATATGTGACTTTACCTTGATCAGTTATAGATCAAATTTACATTTCGTCACGCTTCACTGATTTTTGACGGATTTATGGCATTTTCAATTTTTTTACGGGAACCAGATTACGCTTGCCGGTAGGGGACTAGTATTGCTAATGCAATACTCTCAGAATGCTTGCTAAATCTAATAAATGTATGTCAACTTTTGAAACGTGCATGCTCATATCGTGCACCCATTATGTACAGTATAAAAACATTTCACTTACCCCTTCTTGTCCCTGCCAAAATCAACAAACAAGAGGCCCACGGGCCACAATTCACACCTCCGTCCCCCTTTTTTAAATATCTTTCAAATTTATATGAAACCCGTACTAATATCACTAATCAATGCCCTTCTGTTCTTGAAAAGAAGATTGTAAAATACTTCCTCTATACATTACAACGTAAACCTTGGATTCCCTATTGTGGACCCACCCTATCCCCAGGAGTCCATGATCCGTGATATTCTAGTCGGTAAAAGAGCTTTAAAAATGTATATAGTCCGACTAAAAATAAAATTTACTTACTTACTATTAGAACAAAATTTGCACTACATGTACCTGAAAATTATTGCATCTAAACATTAGTAACCATGGCCCTGTGTTCTAAAGAAGAATGTTTAAAAACATTTTCCTCATATACTAGTATATACCACTGTAAAAACTTTGATCGCCTATTTTGGCCCCACCTTACTCCCGGGGGCTATGATTTAAATAAACTTGATTCTACACTATATCAGGAAGCTTCCACACAAGTTTCATCTTTTCTGGCCCATGGGTTCTTGAGAAAATTTCCAGGCCTTATATAATAAAGTTGACTTGCCTTTAGATAAAGTGTTTTCTGTGTGTGTGTGAGGGGGGGGGGGTGTGTGTATTCATTATACATATAATGTTATGATAAGCTAGATAGTCTGTGTGTATTGATATTCTTTGTCCAGATATGTAGTGCTTCCTTTATATTAAACTATATGTAATTAAAGTTTACTTTGGTTAATCAAAGTGTTCTCAAGTTAATCAAAGTTACCAAGTTTTGCATTTAATGAATCAAAAATTTTGCCATAGCAAATCAAAATATACATTTTCCCATATACAACAGGCCCGTAGGAAGCAATTTCAGTTCCTACGGCCATGTACAAGTTTTTATCTCAATGAAATTGAAATATATATTTTTTAAAAGTTTTGATTACGATTTTATAAAGAGGGGTGCAAATATTACTTGCTATCATCATTGCGATACTATTGCTTGAGAACCTCAAAACGGTTTTAGCGTATAGTTTCATGTCAAATTAAGTTATCACGGTATCGTATATAGTACTCCTTATTGCGCCTCCTAGAACTTAGTATGTGAAATACTAAGTCTTGTGGGCCACATCAGTCACGTGTTTATAAAGAAAAAACAGGATACTGATTGTCCTTAGTCATTTATACAGGAAGGGCTTTATCATGCTCTGTGTGAAGTTTTAAAAATAAAGATTATGACAGATATTACTTAATGTACACTTCAAACGATTTAGGCTACATTCTCACAACGTCTGGGGTCCTAAGTCCACACGTGGCCCACGGCTATGAGTGGACTCGGGGCCCCTGACGTTGTGGGGATGCAGAAAATAGAGTGGGGTGAGAGTTTAAATCCTCAAAAACTTTACCGTTACAAAATAATTTGTTAATTCGTTAGATCAGCAGAGATTGAACACGCGAATTTACCTACGCATATTGCTTTTCTGACTTACATTACTTACATTTTTTTCAGTTATAACTTATAAGGACAGGATATAATTATAAGTCTTAGCCTATTCGATAAATTTAAGAAATGCATGCATGTACAAGTCTAAGCAGGAAATATTTTCTCTCGCCCCCCCCCCCCTCTCTCTCTCTGAAAAAAGATGAAATCATTTTTCGGAGTTTTCCGAAAATTTCCCATAGTACTTTTTCCAAATGTTTAACTTTCTTTAACCAACGAACGCCGATAAAAGAAAGCCTATACATATTAAAACCTGGCATGCAAAATAAAGTATGATTTTTACTACCGAAATGAAATTTTTATAAATTTTATCCCAAGTATTTTGCGTCATTAGTATAATTACGATATCTCTGTTTTGTATCCTCGGTAGTTTGCATTGATTTATTTACGATCATATCTCTCTGTTTTCTGGTTTTGGTTTGACAGTACATGTATGTATAGATCTGCGTTATTAATTGGAATAATAATGATATTTTTCTGTTTTGTCAATATAATCATCATCACCTACGAATGGAATAAAATGTGAAGATCATGCTTAAAAGTGAGTATAATTAAACAATACAAATTGAGAGCAGAGAAAACATGGACCCTGAAAACATCGGTGTCTTCCCACTTAGCCAAAATTCTGAAATTGTTACGAATTTTTAATGAATATTCACAAGCGTTTTCAAAATGAATATGTTCATTGAAAAAAAAAATCCTCATCTAGTTCTTTAACTATAAAGTTATATTTTTACATTAAAAATTTAATTTCAGCTTGGATACTACTTCTGTATTTCCAGTAGACTATATAAATCAAATTATACTATGATAATTTTACAAAATTGTTACAATAAGGGAAGATTATCTAAGTTATGTCTATAATCCGTTTGACTTTTTTTTTTGTCAATAAATTATTTCCAATTCTTTTGAAATATAAAAATATAAATTTAAAGACTATTTCTGATGCATGTGTGGAAGAAATTACTTATAAATGCATGTGCATATAAGTATACAATCACAACCACATTTATTTGTATCTTTACCTCAATCACGAATTTATATCTTATATTTTAACAAAAGTGGCTATTAATTAGTACAAGTATTTCTGCAAAATAAATTAAACTTTTCATTCTTTTCATCTTTATATTGTATTAGTTAAGTAATAATCCAAATACATTCAATTGTTTATTGTCAAAAAATTATTTATTTCCATGTCGATGAATGAATTAAATGAATTATTTATTCACCAATAAAAATCATTCTTAACATTGTCTATTTTTTTCATAAATTGTGATCCACAATGTAATTTTTTTTCTTTTTAAAAAATATTGATACAATTGTGTATGTGTTTTAAAATTATTAATATGCAGAACCTGATTAATCAATATGTAATAAAACAAATATTTATAATATGCATTTTGATAATGAACTTGTACACCACAATTAATTGTTACAGGTAATAAGCCTAAAACAGACTATACAAAGGTGACCACTCAGGTGCGAAACTCCAAATTTTGGCTAGATGGGAATAAGAAATTTGAAATTTTGGTTAGGTGTGAATAAACCACAACTAGTAAGAACTTTTAGAACTTGTTTCCAATCCTTTTGATTTAATCAATAAAATATGTTCAAAACAATAAACCACAACATCAGGGGTTGGCTTGATGTGTCATGGGGGAGCAAGCATCCAAAGCCGATTGATCACACCAACCTTGATCCCTTAATTGGTCAAAATATGATTGTCTTGGACGGTTAAAAGGAGATATCCGTAGTCAATTCAGTATGAAAATGGTCTAACAATTTGTTTAAAAAAAAAAAAAAACAACTTTAGTCAACATTCAACATAATGACAAGTTGTACTTACAAACAAGGTCATTGTATATATTGACCATATAGAATTCGAGAAATATTGACTTTAAACGAGATTGTTGATACCTGATGCCCTTAAATCATCAACTTATTTATCAGTAACCTGCTCAGTGTGGAAATTATTCTTACGTAAATCAATCCCAAGATTGCGTATCGAATCAACTTGGAGACATAAACAGCATAGGCATGTGATGGAAATTTAATTGGAAGTCATTTAATTTAATTCGTATCTTGGTTATTTTTATCAGCAGAGACACATTATTAGAAATGATTATTTATGTCTCTTTTTATATATATTCTCTTCATAATAATAGGAAACTTTTAATTTAAATTAACATAATCCACAAATTTATTCTGTGTCGCAATGAAAAAGAAGGGAGGAATCTAAATGATCATGTTTCATTATTTATCGTTGGGTTCGGCATACATTTGAAGTACCGGAAGTAAATACTGTATGTTTTCTAGGAATAATCATCATGATCATCGTCGTCAACAAAGAATGAGGAATATGAATCAGAGAAATACACATGACATGCTTATAGAACATGAAAGATTGATAATGTTCTGTTAACTTTCATCCTTCTAACAGGTAAGTGACGGATTCAGAGTGAGAGTGAAATGTTTCCTATTGATCATGGCTAAAAATAGTCAGATAGCTACGAAGTAAAAATAGATAAGCTTTGTACATCACTATTTATATGAAACTTCTCACATGTTTTTATTTGATATGTAGACATGGCATCCTCAGACGAGGTAATGGACGATAAAGGGGAAGAACTAGCACAAGGGGAGGAAATTCTGGCGGAGGAAGTGGAAGATGAGGGGGAGGACCCCGATTTTGACTTATTCCTACGGGACATTTTAACAGACTATTTGGCAGATTCTGATGATTTTGAGGAAGATGAGATAATTGCAACAGTTCCAGTAGATTTATTACACCCCTTTGGAAATCTTAACGAATCGGATGACTGTGAAATATGCCTGTCCAAAGAAAGTAAAGTCCGTAATCGTTTATGCTGCCAAATACCTGTTTGTGATGACTGCATGGAGAAATATTTTGTTACCCAAATTGAATCTGGTTTCAGAAGAATGCAGTGCATTTCATCTGGCTGCTCTGAGTATGCTCATGTCGATGAGATTATGTGCCGTTTACCGGTTGAATTGAAAGACAAATTTTACAAATATCTTGTAGATACCAATAATGATCCTTATGTTAAAACCTGTCCAAACTGTAGTTATGTGCAACGAGTCACCAAAGAAGAATTAGATGTTCCAAAAAAGAAAAGAAAATATGGTTGTCATATAGTTTGTAAAGACTGCCATTTGGAATGGTGCTTTATTTGCCATGCACCTTGGCATCGAGAGGGTATAACATGTAAAGATTATCAGAAAGGTGACAAGCTAGTCAAAAACTGGGCCAAAGAGTTTCATTATGGAAACAAAAATGCAGAACGTTGTCCCAAATGCAAGGTATGTGAATATCTGAAGAAATTTTTGGGTATGTTGAATGTTAACTAAATCATTCTCACTTTAAATAAAAAAAAAATTCTGCATTGCTTATATTTTTTTTTACTCAGGATCTTTTCTTACATGTGCAATTGTTACTTGTAGATTTTCATAGAGAGAACATCTGGGTGTGATCATATGACCTGTAAAAACTGTCATACAGTGTTTTGCTACAAATGTGGAGAGAAGTACATTAAAATCAAATTTATTGGGGATCACTATGGGAGATTCAGTCCACTGGGATGCAAACACAAACTGTTACCAAACAAACCAGTTCTACGAAAAGTTATAAGGGGATCAGCACTTGGTAAGTTTTCATGTAGTTAGAATGAGAAATTGAAGACACAGTTTGGGCAAATTGCATTCATTATTTTACTCAATAGTCTTGCTCTGGCCTGGGGTCTCATGAGGAAAGAATAAGGGTACATGTGTACCAACATAGTTGTATTTGTAAAAAAAAAAATCTTTAAAATACTACCTTTATAAGACAACAAAGCTTATGAATTTTCATACATAAATATTGTTTGCAGTCATCTCTGATAGTGAAAATTAATCCCTAAAGTCATGTTGATTCCACAAGTGAAGACTTCTTTAAAAAAAAAAACAAAAACAAAAAAACAACAACAACAAGCAATGAAGATATGAAAAAAAAAATCCCATAACAGCTATAACACATGTATCTCATATGAGGATACAAACATCTGTATATACGTGACTAACATTACATCATTCAAACACGGCTTAAGCTAAGTGTGGGGAACAGTGAGGGTTTTTTTAAATAAATATATTTTTAATGTTCTGAAAGAGGAATATGTGACTCAGGTAATTTATTAGCATATGAGCCTCTTGTATATATATGAGTGTCTTGTTTCAAAAAAAAAAAGTATATACCTACATTATGAAATGACAATAACTGTAAACTTACTTTCACTTTCAATATTGTTTGATATTAAGGTTAAGCTGTTATTCAGCAACGTCATGTCAATTTTTCTGTCAAATTTTGACCATATTGATAGAACATATTTAGTACTAATGTATAATTGATAATTTATTAATGATCTCAATTGCATTGTCTATTTGATATTTTACATGTTCTCTACAGGTGCTAAATTATTTGGAGGAATTCTTCTTGGGGGGCTGGCCATTGGAGGAGCAGCCATATTTGTTGCAGTCAGTCCCATTGTAGTGCCTGCGTACTTTGGTCACAAGTATAGGATGCGAAGACGTTATAGGCGTACGAGGCGCAAGCTAAGAAAGCAAGATCTGTATATGATGCAGCATGATGCACAATTTCTGGAGGCCATGCAAATTAGCCTTGAGGAGGCTTTACGTATGTAAATATAGTCTACTTAGGTCACATATTAGTCACTCATGCTATTTCATTGTTTCTTAAGTCATTTGGGAATTTATAAATATTTTAATAATTATGACTTCTTTTACAAAATTGTTAAACCATTTTCAACCAAAATTTGGTTGAAAGAATCTTTGGGAAAGGGAGATTCAAATCTTTTCAAGTGTGATGACACATCCCGTCATCTGAAGGAGGGCTGAAAAATAGATATGATATGATGACTGTGAGGTCATTTAAAAGATCTATTTTTGTAGAATCACCCAACCAGAATTGATGTTAATCTGTGGAACTAGAAAGGTAGAAAGGTTAAAGTAAACAATCAACCATAATCCAGGAAACCAGGATGGGGACACAAAAGGTGTCCAAAGTTTAAATAAAATATATGCAAATAAATCTTTAAAATTCTTCAAGAACAAGTCAAATGCATAACTAAATCCATTTTAATATTTTTATTTTTGATAAATGTTTTCAATTTTATTTTTACCATTGTAAACCTCAATATCTGCTGCTTTCCAACTGACATTATAGCTATGTTTTTCTCCCAGAACTCTATATGAATATTAAACAATGATGTTTACTCCCACAAGAGTTATAACTCTACATTCCTGATTCCATGATGTTTAAAACATAGCAAAATACAGTTGAACTTCAGCATCTTGAAAACTGATATCTTGAATACCAGGGATATGTCGAAGAGATTTGTTAGAAGAAGTAATTTAGAAAATAGCACATTTTCATCAAATGTTAAGCATTTGTTGTGCTGCTTTTTTTTTTAATACATGTACCTCTGTACACAATGTTTTTACCATACACAAGCACATTTATCTAGTTAAATTTTTATGAAATGTAAATCTTAAGGTAGACTGCAGCTTTACAGTCAACTTGACTTTGGCTTAGTTTTCAAAATTTCTCTGAATGGTTAATTTATTAATTTATTTAATGTCTTCTGAATTTTGGCAGGGCTTTGATAACTAGCATCTATATTACATGTTTATGAGCTTGTGACACTATACTTTTTAACTGTATTATATACAGTTACCACATAAACTGAAGCTTAAAAACAGGTACCATGAAAATACATCCAGATTGGTATACTGCAATGGATCAGACTTCAAATAATGTAGACTGAATTGCAGTAAAGACAGATTGAAATCTCTTTCTAGTTACAAATCTGAGAAAATGCTGAATTAAATACTTATAAATGAAATGCATGAAAAGTTATTTCAAATTATAATTTCAATTTCATTATTCATTTTAGAATTGAGGGTGGAAGAAACATATTCCTATTTGATTGTCCTACTTTTAATACAATAAATGCTATTCTATTGCTGCAAATAAATAGCTGACCACTCTTAGATTTATTTATATCTTTAAAGATGCTATAGCAGGTGACTCGTGCCTTCCTTGATTTATCATTTATATTACTTTATTTTGCAGAAGCTCAAATTCATGATATTGTAATTCATGGTGACCAAAGTACACAAACTACATTGCCAGGAGGTGAGGATGATGGAAGCTCGCTTTCCTCTAAAGAAGATGAGGAGGAGGCCAAAGAAGGGAGGGAGAATGAGGAAGCAGGAAAAAATGAAAATGTCAAAGTTATCATCCATAACCAAGATGATGGGGTTAAGAAACCTTCCACCATCATTGAGGTAGAGGAAGAAAACCAAGTCCATGTGACGGGTGGAAGAGACAGTCACATGACCACTGCTGACCTAGAAACACAGTCAGATGGACAAGTTGTACTGCACGTGAAAACCACATCAAAATCCTCAGAAGAAGAAAAGAAATTGAACCAGTCAGAAGAGGGTGACTTTACATTCACGGAAAATGAGGATTCAATCAGCAATGGAGGTTGTTTAATCAAAATTTTAAAGAAATTACCCTCTGTGTGGGAGAAAGAGAAGGATGGAGAGAAAATCCAAAAATGGGAAAGCACGGATGACTCTAAAAGCATTAAGGATTTCTGTGCTCCCAGTGACCAGATTGAAGGTGATGTTAGTCCTGGTTCCTTGAAGTTCAGTGATACTTTAGAATGCCTGAAGCAATTGCAAGTAGAGAGTGAACTGAAAGATTCGTATTATGGCTTAGTGTCTACCACTGATGAGATTACTTATCTGTGATACTGTATAGGTTGGGTCTCTTAATTGTCTTATCTGCTCCACATTATGTGTGCTCACTGAAGTTTTCTCCACATACCATTAAGTTTCTTTTCTTATGTTTTGAGTTCTATTGGTCAAAGACCAAAGGAGTTTACGCACATGGGCTAAGGGTCTATTATTTATACATTTTACAGTCTTAAGTTTTCAGATTAATGCTTCTCCTCCTACAACTTTTTTTTCTGATTTAAATAAAATATTAAAGAAAGCATCAATTTATAGCTTCAAAAATAGAAAGAAAAAAAGAAAATATAATGAATTGATTGTTAGAAGCAAAAATATGGATATACATGTTCTACTCTCATTCAAAGTAGTAAGACCTATACTAATGCCCTGTTCACACGGGGAGTTTAATTCGCAGTAAATTGATTCGAAGTAAACTAATGCGAATTAAACTAATGCGAATTAGATTGTGTTCACACGAGAGCTAATGCGAATTAAAATTATATTTCTACAGTAAGGCTATTCTGTAAGCCTATTATGACGTCATTTTTAAATCACATCACATTGTGCAGAGCAGGTACATTTTACATAATATCATTGTGTCTGTGCACATTTTATTGATTAACATAATTTTCTTTGGTTTTCCACTCAAAAATAGCACAAGTTACTATATTTGACCACCGACATGTGGTCTTTGACTTAATTCTGCCCTTACGCATGTGTCAAAATTTAATTCGAATTAGCTTAGCTTAGCGTTCACATGGAGCTAATGCGAAGTAATTTAATGCACAGTAAATTAATTCGAATTAAACTAATTTGTATTCAATTCTCTATGTGAACGCGGTTCAAATTTGATTCGCAGTAACTTACGTTTAATTGGTATTAAACTCTCCGTTTGAACAGGGCATAAGATATCAATCCCAGAACAGTCTAGCCTATTATAAGGAAAGAAAACAATACACAAAGTAAAATTTTTTTTTCAAAGTGATATGAATATCATTCTTATTTTCTTACAGAGCATATGTGAGTGCTTCCACATCATTCTAAAAAAAAGTAATAAAAATAATGACAATAAAATAAAAAATAATTAAAAAAGAAAGCAAAAGAAAGCTTTTAAGTTAAATAGAAAACCCTAACAAACAACACTGGAATGAAAAAGAAAACTTGTACAACATAGAGTGTTCCTCTTTGAATATAAGATATAGATGTTTTGATATCATGTCTTCATAAATAGTTATGAACTACACACTGTAAATCTTGTTCTTTATTTGCGTAGCAAACACTGTTAATTAAATGATACTGAAAACTTGCAAAAACATGTAATATGAATGAGACTCTAAGGTTTACTCCATGCACTGCTTTGTAAACAATTTCAAACCTTACAACCCTACAATAATAAACTAAGACTTGGAATAGAAAGCATACCATCAGTATATGGGAGATCTTATTTTCTACAACTAATAAAAACTTTATAATAAAATTAATAAGCACTGAAATACATGCAGACTAGTTAACTGTATTTAGTTCTCCGAAATGCTTAAAATTTGCTAGCTTCCAGGGGGGTTTGCTCACCACATGTCCTTCAATACATATTATAAAACAATATTTCAATGTTGGATGAAATCAGCATTCATGAATTTCAGACTTCCTCAGTGCATGATAATATTCTTTGTTGGACACTTACATTTAGTTGTCAGAAATGCTGAAAATTCATCAGCTTCCAGGAGCTTCACATGGACTCATTGGGGCCCCAAGCAGCCTCCAACCTCTCTGCCTTTGCTTCTACATCAAATACTTCCTAGGTACACATATGCCCCAATTTTTAGAACTTAAGTGATTTTTTTTTTAATTTTTTAAAAAATGACCATGTTGTATGCACACTTTGGAGAAAAACTTTATGCAAATACCTCAGAAATATACTAGTATTCATCTGCAATGCAAAGTTTTAATAGATATTTACACATTTTTACTTTACGTAAATTTTACCTTAGATTATAATATAGTAATGAACATTTTTTTTTTTTATTTTGAGAAAGATGCTTTGAAAACGAGTACCTAGATTCCTTTTCAATCTTAAATTAGACAAGTATTTATTTACACAATTTTTCTTTAAACAATCATGAAAAAATGATGTGACAGTTCTTTAAAATTAATTAATAAATGATTCCAATCGAACTTGTATAGGATTCATGACAAATGAATATCATGAAATTTTATTTTTAGTATAATCAATCTTGAAGAAGCAGTATTCACGCATACATACTTGCAAACATATGACGATGAAAAATCATATCACCCACTTTTCATTTTAAAAAAAGCCTGTGATAACAAGCAAGATATCAAAAAAATATTTATGAAAACCATTCATCATTTAAATTTCCATTTTAGATGTAGTAACACAAAACAAAATAGTGTACAGTTGAAATTCTGTATCTTGAACCTCAATATCTTGAATATCATTGATATGTCCAAGTGAATTGGAAGTCCCAACCAATTTTTCTTAATGTATTTTAATCTTGATATCTTGAATCTTTGGATATCTTGGAAAGTTTTTTTCTAGGACTCCCTGAGTTCAAGATAACAAGGTTTGACTAGTTACTGTTAATTAAATGTAAGCGATGTATACTTCATTTTCTGAGAGAGAGAGAGGAATCTCCATAAAAAGAATTATAAATTGTGTTTCTGTATACAGGGAAATTTTCGCCCTAGACACAAGTAGGCGAATTTAAGAAGGGATGAATTCAAAGAAAAAAGTATAATTTAAATAAAACTGTGACTGGGCAAAATTAAGATGGGGCAAAATTGTTTGCAAGTCTAAAAGGGCGAATATAACATGGGGTGAAAATAACCCTGTATACAGTACTTTACTAAAAAAATGGAGAAATAGGGTGAAATTTGGAATTTTGATTAAGTGCAATAGTTTACACTGTATGTAGATTACATTAATGTGCATATGTTATTTACACTTAAATAGTTCTTTTTTGCATGTGTTGTTTGTTGTATTGTTAGCTTTGTAAGTGTATCTTTATTGTTGTTTTTCTACCAAAATGTCTAGTTAATTCTACAGATCAAAGATTTTTTGTTTTTATTTTGTGTCTGTCATTGTTATACCGGGGTATATATTCGTGAAGAATTTTTCAAAGTGCAACTCTCACAGCTATTGCTTAATGATGATGTCACACGTATTGAAATAAAATATCTTAACATAAAAAATGAATTGCTAGTTTTTGCTTTCTTTCATAGAATTTTGGTACAACATGGTAAAAGTGGAGACTATATCAAGATATCTAAGTATGAAGTATCTATATTTGAACTTCTGATTGTAATATATGAGGAGGAAGATGCATGTTGCTACTTATTAGCAGTAAGCACTCCTGATCTTAAAGCTCATTGACAAGTGAGCTCAAATTTGTTAGAAATTATGGCTAAAAAGGAATTAAGAGAAAAAAATCTTTAAAATTGTCATCTCAAGAACAACTGGACCACAATAAGTATTATCAGCAAACATTCCCATATTGTGTAGATATTTTAAAATTAAAATGAGTACCACATGGCCTGTAATAGAGAAACAAAGATTTGCACTAAATAAATGTACATGTATATATGTAGGTGTTCAGAAAAAAATTAAATTTTGTCCACATTTGAAACTGCATCCCACCATTGCCTAATTTCAGTTAAAGATGGGGTAAATGGTTACCATAAGAGCAATAAGAAACAACACTTAGTAATATTTCCATAGTGATAAATAAATTTACCACTGTTAATAAAAATGAAATTCGTAATGGTAACTTCCCGTGTGACTTAACTTTGAATTTGCTGACATATATGCACAATAGTCATCTCGAAGGTTCCTATCAAAGCCAACAATTTAAGGTGAAAATGATCTATTGATCGAACGTAATTTGAAAGCCCAAGAATTTATATAGCAGGAGGATAGTTCGTACCCTCGAATAGGACGAATTATCCTCCTGCATTTATGTATTTTGAGAGAGAGTCTCTTTCCATAAACAATTCTTCAAAACGCTTACACCTCCTACAGCCTTGGTCCGATTTCAGTAAGACTTGGTATGCAATTTGACTATACTTAGATAAATAATTCTATTTATCGGTTTTTGATTTCAAGGAAGGGTTTTGCCTAGTTTACCAAAAATAATCATTTCTTGGAAATATTTCAAATCGCTACTCCTCCAACATTTTTTTGGTCAGAATTCAGTAAGAGTACACAAGTAGACTATACTAAGTTACATAATTCTGAAAATTGGTGTTTGATTTCGACTTCCAGTGTTGTCATGGTCACTTAAAATAGAAATTTCTGTGAAAAAAATTTCAAAACCTACTCCTCCCTCAGTTTCGGAAGTGAAGGGGGTGGGGGGGGGGCAAACAAGGACAGTTTGTTTTACTTTTGCCAGTTAAGGAGATTTTTTTTTTTTTTGATTTTCAACACTCTCTGGGACAGACTACATGTATTTCCAAAATCTCTCTCCCCTTCAGAATTAAATGGTCGTCCCCTAATTCATCTGGTGTGTAAGTGATAATTTTTCCGAAAAAAGAAATTAAAAAATGTTAGTTTCCTTTTTTATTGTATGTGTACGTTTGTGTGTGTTTGCAAGGGGGGGGGGGGGTAATAGAATGATGTAGTTTACAGTTACATTTTTTTTATTTGCTGAATCAAAAATGACAAGAAGACAATTTAAAAATTCACCGAAAAGTTATTCAAACTGAGTTAAGAACTTTAAGAAAGACAGGTTTCGTTCTGCGATTACAGGTAATCGTCTCCCTTACCATATAAGTTTAAAAGAAATTGTTTTGCAGTCAATGTCTTTAATGCCGATTATTTTATTTTCATATAAAATAATCGCTATTAATTTAGGAATCTCATACAGACGTTTTGCCGTATGTGGTATGGCTCCTACATGATTATTAGTTTTATGGCTAACAATGGCACTACATACATCTCGTTATGATGTAACCCCCCCCCCCAAAAAAAAAAAACCCAAACAAACAAACACGAATATATTCAGGAAAAGAGTAGACAACAGTGTATTGAACCAGTAATCCAGTGTTCTGTTTAATTAATTATCGTTATTTCTTTACCGATTTTGCAATTAATTTTGTGTATTCTAATACCTCTTTAGAATCTTTTGACAATGAGTTCCGCATACATGTATCACAATCTCATTGAAAGATTTTAAAGAGTAATTTAATTTATTTATAAACAATCATAATATTTGTCGTTTAGTATACTAAACATATTATTGAAATTCATAATAAGTAACTATTTTCCAAAAGGTTGAACAATTAAATAAAATTAAAAATACGTTTCCCCAATTTCTTTTTCCTTAAGAAGCTGATATACTGGAAACTGAAACAACTCATACTCAACTACATTATACAATTTTTATCATACTGCGTGGGTTTAATTCAGAAAGTATTTTAATTATATTTTAAACACTGGATTGTACTGGGCAACAGGCTATAAACATATCTGAGCCCTCTCTAAAGCTGAAGGTCCAACATATGTACATGTTTATAGCGAAAGCGTATAATATTTACATTATAATTATACGAAATATATTGTTTAAATTAAATTAAAGTCCAGACTTTTTGACATCATTGACAGTTGCTTTTTCAATAAAAATAGAACTCGTAAATGTACTTACCTTGTCATTGGTCATTTGCAAAATTAATTTGTTAAAAACATTCTGATTGTACACACAAGTACTCTGAAGTTGATATTAAAAAAGATGCTTGAGTTTCTGATTGACAATATCTATATGGTTTTTGGAGACCAGGTCTTCCAACAATCTGTTGGAATTCCCATGGGTACCAAAGGGTCTGTTGTTGTACATCTAGCACTCTTAATTTTTCAAATTAATGTTTCTCCTTTGTCCTACTACTTTTTTTTTGTTTTCTATAAATCAGTAAAGATAGCGTTAATGTATAAGCTTCAGAAAAATGAAAATGTGATGAATCTATTGTTATAAACAAAAATGTATACATGTACTACTCTCATTCAAAGCAGTTAGATATACACTTAGATATCAACCCAGATCAGTCAAGTTTATAAAATGAAAGAAAACAAAACACAAAGTATAATTTTTTTTTTCAAAGTGATATGGATATCATTTTATTTTATAACAGGGCATATGCGAGTGCTTCCACATCATTTTCAAAAAAAAAAAAAGAAAGAAAGAAAGAAAAAGAAAAGAAGAAGAATAAAATAAAAAGGAAAAAAAGGAAGAAATAAAAAGCTTCGAATTAAAAAGAGAACCCTAACAAACAACATTGGAATACAGAACATACAGTATTCCTCTTTGCATATAGGATAAAGATGTTTTGATATCTTCTTATGTCATTTTAAATGTTTGCAAACTTATAGGATTCATGATGAATGTATATCATGAAATTTTATTTTTTGTATAATGCCATCTTAAAGAAACCTGCAGTATTCACACATACATACTTGCAAACCTTAGACGATGAAAAATCATGTCATCACCCACTTTTCATTTTAAAAAAAGCCTGTGATAACAAGCAAGATATCAACAAAAATATATTTATACGTTTGTATAAACCATTCATCATTTAAATTTTTAGCTGTATTGTAGTAACACAAAACAAAATAGTATACAAATGAACTTCAATGTTTTGAACCTCGATATCTTTGAATACCATTGATATGTTGAAGTGACTTCGAAGTCCCGACCAATTTTTCTTATTTTACCTTGATATCTGTAATATTCAGATATATTGGAAGTTTTCTTTCTAGGACCCACTGAGTTGGAGATAACATTGTTTGACTAGTAACTGTTCATAAATTGTAATCAATGTATACTTTTTTCCTCAGAGAGAAAGGATTTTACGTAAAAGGAATTACGAACTGTGTTACTTTACTGAAAAGTGGAGAAATTTGGTAAAATTTGGATTTTTTTTTAAGTGCAAGAGTTTACATTATTATACTAGTATGTAGAAAACATTAATGTGCAATTGTTATTTACACTTCAATAGTTCTTTTTTGTTTGTTGTATTGTTAGCTTTATAAGCGTATCTTTATTGCTGTTTTTCTACTAAAATGTCTCTATTTTTCAGATGCAACAACGTTTGTCATTATTTTGTGTCTGTCATTGTTATATGTATTCGTGTACATTTTTTTTTTCTTTCAAAATGCAACTCCCACAGCTATATCTTAATGATGATATCGCAAGTATTAAAAATAAAATATCTTAACATAAAAAATGAATTGCTAGTTTTTGCTTTCTTTCATAGAATTTTGGTACAACATGGTAAAAGTGGAGACTATATCAAGATATCTAAGTATGAAGTATCTATGTATGTACTTCTGATTGTAATATATGGGAATGATGCTGCTGCTACCTCTTAGCAGTAAGCACTCCTGATCTTAAAGCTCATTGAGAAGTGAACTCAAATTTGTTAGAAATTATGTCCCTAAAAGGAATAGGGTGAGGTCACAAAAGGGGATAGAATATCACACAGTAATGAATAAGAAAAAAATCATTAAAATTTTCATCCCAAGAACAACTGAACCAGAATAAATATTATCAGTAAGCAAACATCCCCATATTGTGTAGATTTTTAAAATTAAAATGAGGACCACAGGGCCTAGGGTGATGCCATATGAAATGATAATAGAGAAACAAAGATTTGCACTAATATATATAATTATATAGGTGTTCAGAAGAAATTAAAAACTTTGTTAACATTTGAAACTGCATCCCACCATTGCCTAATTTCAGTTAAAGTTGGGGTACACGTTTACCATATATGCCATAAGAAACGACTCTTAGTAATATTTCCATAGTGATAAATAAATTGACCACTGTTAATTAAAATGAAATTCGTAATGTTAACTTCCCTTGTGACTTAACTTCGAATTTGCTGAAGTATCTGCACAATAGTTGATCTCGAAGGTTCCTATCAAAGCCAACAATTTGAGGGGAAAATGATCTGTTGATGGAATGTAATTTGAAATCCCAAGTATTTATGTAGCAAGAGGATAGTTCGTACACTCGTCATATATATATATGTATATATATATATATATATATATATATATATATATATATATATATATATATATATATATATATATATATATATATATATAGTCTCTTTCCATAAACGATTTTTCAAAACGCTTACACCTCCTACAGTATTGGTTCGATTTCAGTAAGACTTAAGATGCATTTTGACTATACT